ACCCAGCTCCCCCCACCCAGACACCATCCTGGCCCCTCCCGATGGCCGCGTGGGTCCCTGGGCAGAGGATGGGCTGCATGACCTGTCCATGGAAACCAGCCGTGTCTGCCATGCCAGTGTCTCCTGTCCTTCCGCGGCCGCAATTCAAAAGCATGTATCTCTGCCGTCCCTGTGACATGAACTGTTGTTTTTTAATTAAATGGAAATGATATTTGACACACAAAGTCAAGTTAATAAATGAATCTGTGGTGGGGACACAGTGGGGAGCTGCGTGGGGGGAGGGACAGGAGAGAGGGAGTAGGAGGAGGGGGTCACACCTGTGGGAAGCTGTTGACCTAACCCTGTGTTCCTTAGGCCCAGAGGCCGGAGGAGGACCTGCACTGCTGTTGGCTCAGGCAGGGGTGGGAGTGACAGTTTGCAGATGGGAACATAAGCGGAGTAGACATCCCACAGTGATGGAGACCCCCCCCCCCCCCCCCCCTCCCTTGTCCCCGGTGGCATGCTAAGGAAGAGGCCACCCATCCACAGAGGCCCGTATACAGCCCTTTCAATGGGGCAGTGGCCCTGAGTGGGGGTAGAATGGATGATTAGCTGGGAAATGGTTCTAAGTGCTCAGCTGGGCCAGGGGGGCCTCTTCTGCTCTCATTGTGGCCTTAGTCCCCAGCTCTGCAAGGGTCTCCCCCAAACCCACAGGAACATTGAGCTCCCTGCTGCCTGTGTGTGCCCTCATGGAAGGGCCCAGCCACTGTCCTCTCAGACAGTCTGGGGGAAGGGAGAAGGGACAGCGGAAGGCAGTTTCCTTTTCTGCACGGAAAGAAGCCAGTGGGGTGGGGGGATGGGACTCTGCGTTATGTGGCTTGTGTATTTGCTCACTTCTGCCAGCACAGGCTGTCCTGGGGATCTCATTCATTAGAGCCTCACTTAGCAGCTCCTAGCATGGCACTCCCAGTCTTTAAGGGGATCAAGATATAGCCCAGGGCCACACCTGGCCACCCTCCCTCACACACATGGGAGGCCTTGCTGTACCCTCAAACCACCCTGGTCTCTGGGCCTGTGCATTTGCAGCCCCCTCCACCCACGATGCCCCTCTCCTTACCCTCAGCCGCCCTCACAGCCCTGCCCACCCCAGGACCCCACCTCCTGCACAGGGACTTCTGCAAGCGTAGCGTGGTTTCCTTTTGAGGAACCACCCTCTCTCTCCCTGACAGTCCCCTCCTGCCCTTTTGGCTCCTGACTCAGCATAGTTACGGCACCGCATCTGCCTCCCCCACCCCCTCTCGGTGCTGCAACCCCCCCTCCCCGAGAACAGGGCCCCTGTCTGCCCCTCCTCTGTCTCCCAGTCCCCAGCACCCTAGAGTCACCTTGTAGCCCCGGATTAATGATTGCTCAAGGGCGCTGCCCCCTATGGAATGTGCATTAAGTTCCATCCTGGGTCACAATTGTTTGCAGCCTCAGAGAGGAGATGGGTCAGGAGGGGCTGACTCCAGGCTGCAGGCCCAGGGAGCTCGGTGGGAGGGGGCGGGGGGGCAAGGGGCTGTGGGGTTCTCCCATGTTGAATGGATCACTTTAAACACTAACAGGCTGCATGTTAACATTGATCTGTGAGTGACGGGGAGAGGAGAATGGTGGTCGTTGGACAGGCTTTGCAACCAGTGAAAGGAAAGAATTGCACATGGGGCATTTTCTCCCTGAATTTTCTTTACATTTTTTGTTAAGAAAAAAAGAAAAAGAAAAAGATTCAACCCCCTTTCCCATCTGCAATCCACTTGGCCAGGCTCTTGATCCCTCTTGATGGGCGTGTTTTGATCCGGGCGCACACAAAGCCCCTCGGCCACCTCTCAGTTTAAGGAGAAGCAGCTGCTGCCGGATTCTCTTTTAAGCAGGCTGTGTGCCGGCCAGGCCAGGGGCCTTCTTCGGGGGGCCAGCCTCAGAGAACACCCCAACTCTGGCATGAAGAAAAGGAGCCCCACCCTCCTCACGCCCAGTCTCACTTCTTCATTTTCACTCCACGTCCTGAGGCCCGCCTGACCCGCCATTGCACTGGCCCCTCAGGGAGACTCGGACAGCACCTGCTCCCTGAGAACTTGGCTGTCACTTCAGGTGGTCTGCACACCCCTCCCCCCCGGCCCAACGCCTCTCCCCCTGCCCTGTGATACATAGAGAATATTCCAATGGAAGAGAGGGAGCCAGAACTCTTTCTACTTCCCCCTTTCTTACTGTTTTTTCCCCAGCTGGCAGGGGCCTTGGTGCACATTATAGATTCATTGCCTTCAAAATGTAACTTTAGAAATGTCAGGTTGATTTGGAGTTCTGGGAGAGTGAGAACAGCCCCATCAGATTCAGAATTAGAAATGCACCAACGTAGAAAGAACCAGCACTTTTTGACAGAGATTTGTGCCCAAGAAAATGTGATCTGCTCAGAGGTGGCAGCCCCGGGAACCCTGAGTTGCCAGTGGGCATGTCGGTGGGGCTCACCCATCCTGCTGGGGCGGGTCTTTCATTGGGTTTGGGGCCAGGCCTAAGAGCCCTGAGGTGTCTGAGAGGCTGCCTGGCCATCTGGGTCAATGGCACCTGCCAGACCTCTCCTGCCTTCTGCTCAGGCTTCACCTCCAAGAGCCGACTGATTGAACTCCTTGCTCCCCTTTCTCAGAGACCTCTCCCCAGGGGCCGACCCTGGCAGTGGGTCAGGCAAACTATTAGCACTGCTGACTTTGCCAGGAGATCAAAGTTGCATCTGTCTTTGTGATCAACTAGTGTCCTCCAGACGGGCCATGGCAATTAATCCTCTGCTTTGATTTAAACCATCTCCCCAGTCCACCGACTGGCACCGCGCACCGCACAGTGGTGTAGGTCTCTTCAGCTGTGTTGGAAAACAAAGTTCAGCTTGGAGCCAAGCTGGGCTGATGGGCAATGGCTGCCGAGAATTCTGCATTGAGAAGGCTTCTGAAAAATGAATGGTGTTTGTGATGGGTCTGGGCCAGGGTGTGGTGGCAATAATGTTATATGTTTCATAACATTGCATTAGACCTTGTCCTTCATGGGGCTTATAGAGTCTCCTCCTCCTCCTCCTCCTCC